GTGGAGCGCCTTAAGGGCCAGTTCTGTGGCTAATTTTGTTCAACATCTTAATTAACAACCTGGATGAGGGGATGGATTGCACCCTCAGTAAGCTTGTGAATGACACTATATGTTGTGGGGAGAGGTAGACATGCTGGATGGAAGGACTAGGGTCCAGAGTGACCTAGACAAATTGGAGATTTGGGCCAAAAGAAATCTAATGAGGTTCTACAAGGACAAGTTTAGAATCCCAAGCACTGCTACAGATGGGTAACCAACTGGCTAAGCAGCAATTCTGCAGAAAAAGACCTGGGGATTAAAGTAGACAAGAAGCTGGATATAAGTCAACATTGTGCCTTTGTTGCCGAGAAAGCTAACAACATATTGAGGTACATTAGTAGGAGTACTGCCAGCAGATCGAGGCAAGTGATTACTCCCCTCTATGCGGCACTGGTGAGGAGTATTGCATCCAGTTTTGAGCTCCCCACTACACAACAGAGGTGGAAAAATTGGAGAGAGCCCAGTGGAGGGCGACAAAAATTATTAGAGAGCTGGGGTACATAACTTAGGAGGAGAGGCTGAGGAAACTGGGCCTATTTAAGTCTGCAGAAAAGAAGGATGAGGGGGGATTTGATAGCAGTCCTCAACTATCCGAAGGAGGGAATTCCAAAGAGGATTGTTTTCAGTGGTGGCAGATGACAGAATGAAGAGCAATGGTCTCAAGTTGCAGTGGGAGTGGTCTACGTTGGATATTATGAAAACATGACTTCCCTGGAAGGGTGGTGTAGCACTGATATGGGTTACCTAGGGAGGTGGTGGAATCTCCATCTTCGGAGTTTTTAAGGTCTGGCTTGATAAAGCCCAGGCGGGGATGATTTAGTCGGGATTTGTTCTGCTTTGAGAGCAAGGGGTTGGACTAGATGACCTCCTGAGGTCTCTTCCAACCCTCATCTTCTATGATTTCTCCAGTCACCCCATATAGCCAACAGATCAGTGGTTAAACTACTCCTTTGAGGCGTGGGAGATGAAAGTTCAAATTCTCTCTTATTTAAAACAGTGACTTGAACTTGGGCCTCCTACAACTGGGTGAATGCTCTAACCACTTAGCTATCAAGAACAAAGACAGGGGGCACCCTAGTGATGCATTGTATGCTCCGAACACATCTACCAGATTAGGCCCACCAGATGAGAGAAACAGAGGAACTCTTAGATCAAGGATCCTGGTTGGGTTCCTTGTTAGCTAGGAATCAAGCAGCCAAGCAATAGCAAGACTTGACTATCTTGAATCTAGGTATTGTACCAGCATAGAGAAATGGGAATGAGAACAACAGAGAGCCAACTATATGCAGGGCTAGAGTTTTTTGAGTGTTTCATTTGTTTAGTTTTCATTGTAAGATATACAGAAGGATGAAAGAACAAGTATTAGATGCTCTATGTGTAAGAAATCTGTTTGGGAACCATTTGTTATGAAATAACACATCATGTAGAAATAGAGAAGATAAGCTTGGTTAAAAGGAATGAGTTGATGCAATAATACAACACTCATCTGTGGTCTACTGTAGATGAGTAGTAGAAGCAATGAAACACCAGAGGAGAGACCAATTATTTTCTCTGGATGGAAACAATTCAGGAGGAAGTGGAATCATAGAATCTTAGAACACTAGAACTGGAAGAGAGCTCGAGAGGTCATCGAGTCCAGTCCCTGGCCCTCACGGCAGGAATTACCACAAGCGCCAGAGGAAAAATTGGATACATAATGAAAAACACAAAATGGGGACAAAATAGCAATGGTCCTGGAGAATAGACCAGAAACTGAAACACAGCGGGGAACGTATACAACACAGAAATGGAAAACTCTTCGGAGAAACAGAAATAAATCAAATTCTGATCTAATTAATAAGGAGATGTAAGGGGGTGGAGTTGTATTTAGAGTTGCAGTGAGGTAAAGGTGAGGGACTGAGAAAAGGGGACAGAGGAGGGATTGGGGCAATGATCCAAGGGAGGGTGTAGAGACTGGGGCAGCCTGTACCAGACAAAAGCAAAAGGGCCTGTAACCACTCCCCTCAGCACCAGAAGAGAACATAGAATTTCTGAGTATCAACATTCTTCTCCTGTCAACAGCTAAGAGTGCAATCCACAGGCAAAATGTGCATCTTGTCTCTTTCTGGTGATTGAGCCACATAGAGAGATGACCGTCTCCTGCTCCAGTTACTCCCTTAGCTCAAGTGACCGAAATCCGCATGTTGGCTCTAAAGATTCTAACACCCTGAGTTGTTATAGTGGCACAGGATGAAATTTCTGTGGTTTTTTTTTCATTTTGTTTTTAATAAAAGACTGTGAAACTGTACACAAAGCACTGTGTTAAAAGAACATTACATTGGAAAAGTCACACACCCGACATTTAAGAAATGTCAGCATTCAGGCAGAATTATGCCAATAAAAGATTCCTACCACAAAAGGTATCCTCAGCTGGCCATTTAGGTAAGCGTTACATCAGTTTTTCACTATCAGAACAGTGCAAAGCAGACTTAACCAGGTCCAAATCCTGGTTCTGTATTTCAAGTTAGGTCAAAATGTATGGGTGTTCAGATGAAGGGAACTTAGCCTGTGTTTATCTGTCCTACTGACACAGGCCTGCTCATTTTAGTAATTGAAATATCCTGTAAATATTGTCCCCTGAGCCAAGTTGGAGTGACAATATAAATGCGTGTGTCTCTTAAGCTACATCTAGACGGCAAGCTTCTTTCGGAAGAAGCTTTTCCAGAAGAGATCTTCCAGAAAAACTTTTTTCGAAACAAAGCATCTACACAGCAAAAGCGCCACAAAAAAGCAATCTGCTTTTTCAAAAGATAGCATCCAATCAATGTGGATGCTATCTCACATTTCAGTTGTGATTACTGTGGATGGAGTGGCCACCAGGGTACCTGTGCTTTTTCTTGGAGGCCTCTTCTTTCGAAAAAACACTCTCTTCTGCATCCACATACACCTTTTTCCGAAAAAGCTTTTTTAGAAAAGGCTTCTTTCTGGTAGAAAGAGGTTTACGCTGTTGGAAAAAACCCTCCGTTCTTTTGACTTTCTGTCGAAAGAACGCAATAGCAGTGTGGACATAAGTGTAATTTTTCCAGAAAAACTCTGCAGTGTAGACATACTATCCACAAGTCAGTGTACTGCTACCCATCCCCTACATGCAGCCAGTATGGCATAGTGTCAAAGCAGTTTCTTATGTGTGCAGCTCATTCCCAATACTCCTGGCTTTGTGTGTCCCTCAGCAAAATGGAGGTCTCAGAAATCACTGTTCTTCAAGTACTGACTGATTGGTAATCTGGTCTGAAGGGGTCTGAGCTGAACACAGCGCCTGGTTCTCTTGATGCACCAATTCATTGTGAAAGCAGGATCCGAAGGAATGCTTCCCTTACAGGAGGGGTTGGGAACCATTTTGGGGTTGGGGGCCACTGGTCCACAGAAAAATCAGTTTTTCTTCACAAGCGAGAAGAAAAAAATCCTCACTGACGTGGCCCCCAACTGAGAAGGAGAAAGACACTTTCCACATTTGCCTCCCACATCAGAGCCTAGTGGAGCCCAAGCTACTAGATTTTGTGTGCTCTAGCCCTATGGGCTCCCCAATGCTGGGGGGCTCTGAGCCTCAGGTGCTGGATCCAGGTAAGCCAAAGGGCACATCCTGCCCCCGGGGCCTTAGATTCCTCACCCCTGCCTTTCAAGGAACTTGGAATGGGGGAGAGACTTTGGGTGTATCTGTGTAAATATAGTTTGCTCCTGCTTTGCTTAGATGCATCAGATATTCAGCAGATGGAATGGTATTTTGCTCATTGTAATTAACATTATTTGTGACCCAGGATCAGCTATGTTTGTATTAAAGGCGGGGATAGCTGAAATATGATTACCAGGGTTTGTAATTTTGTGGGAGTATAGAAAAACAACACTGTGCTAAATTATTCTAAAGGAGAGGGCTCACAGTTAGCAGAAAGAACCATGCTAAGCAAGGGGTTGGCATTCAGAGCTCTGTGAAAGGGGGGAGGGGGGATGAGGGAAGATCATTCTGGTCAGGGGGCTGCTTATCTTTCCTTGCCTGGACTGGTTAGCCTGTTCCCTTCCCACATCCTCCCCTTCTCTCCCCCCCCTCCACTGTTCGAAGAACAGAGGTAAATAGGTATCACTCATCACTAAGAGCCTCTTTTCTTGTGTTAATTGTGTTGGAGTTTGTGTTTCTTCTATCCTGCTTGTTAAGAGTGAAATCACTGGCAGCTGAAATTATTTGAGACTGATGGACAGATGTCATAGCCAAGAGGTCGATGGCAGCAGATAGTGACTGAGAGCCAGGATGGTGGTGGTGGAAAGATGCAATGAGAGGCCAGCAAGGCGGCACCAGAGTGATGCAATGTGACAAGTGACCAGTAGAGAGCTGTGACAAGCAGCCAGCAGGGCGGCAGCAGTGAGCAGGTGAATGGTGAGCGAGTACCAGGAGTGAGTTCGATGCCTCTTTACTGCCCCCACCCAGGATGGGAGGTGAATTCTGCAGATGCCCCTCTAAACTCTGGGTCTGCCCTGACCCAGGCAGCATCTGTGAGTGGGATGCAGAGAAGGGGTGGGCATGTGAAGAGGACGTTTGGATTGCTGGGCATAAGAACCCGAGAAGAAAAGGATACTACGCATAAATCTAAACTTTTATTCATAGTTTAGATTTATGAACCATGTTTGTGGTTGTTTCCCAGATTAATGCCAAGTTACTTCCCTTCCTTTTTTGAAAAGGTTCTTTTCTACATTCAGACTCCATGCTTGCGAGTGGAGAGGTATTGCCTCTCAGAGGTACCGAGGGGTGGTGTGTGAATTTTCCAGGTTACTTAGTCGGGGCTCAAGTCAGTTCTCTGTTGGATGGCTGGAGAGGAAGCCCTAGATATTGAACCCAGCCCTGGCTGCTGCTGGCTCCATGTGGCAGAAAGGTTACAATTAGATGTATTGTATGGAATCACAACAGAAGCAATGTATCATTATAGATCCGATACCTGTGTCATCTTTCAGCTCCTCTGAGTGCAACTCCTCGCAAAGTGAGGTTGCATTTGTTGCTGCGGCTGTACTTTCCTGCTGCATCTCTTCTGAGGTAAGAGCCTGGCATACGGGGGATGAAGGCTCACTCTGCATCGACCTGGTGGCACCGTCAGCAGCACATGCTTTGCCTCCAGCATCTAAAACACCACATCATTTAATCTTGATTAAGCCATCAGCTGTAAGAGTGAAATCAGCCTGCCATTCTCATGTTAGCGTATGCACTGATAGCCTATCACAGGCGAAGTTCTTTGCAAGAGCTCTCTTTGGCAGCACAAGCCATTTCCAGAGGTGCTGACTGCCCTCAGCTCCCACCGACATCAGCAGGTGCTCAGCACCCCTGAAGATCAGGCCACTGATATTTGGGTGCCACCATGTGCATTTAGAGAGGCACTGTTTTATATGCCCAACTTGTAAAATGTTGGCTTAAATGTTTGGGCACAACCAAAAGCCAAACCTCTCTCAACATAGGGCCAGATTCTGGCACTCTCCCACTGAAGGATGAGGTACACTGCCAATGCTCCCATTAGCTGTAATCATTCTGACACCTTTTTAGCTTCTTAAGTGTTTTCCAACCCTGGCAGTATTTGTTCGTGGGAATACAAACTAAGCTGTCTTCCCTGATGGTCTCTCAGCAATTACAGGCTCACCACCACCACTGCAAATCAAGCAATTGCTTTCAACTTGGGCCAGCTCTCTCCAATGATGTGTGTGTATTACATTTCCCAGTCCTAGATACTCCTCATTAGAAGTTCATGACAAGGCTGTCTTCCCCTCCTAATGATTTCATTGCAAATTTCTTAAACGGTGATGTAAAGAAGTTAACATTAGAATCATTGGTTTGGAAAAGACCTCAGGAGGGCATCAAGTCCCACCCCCTGCTACCACTTTTTATGTTTTTAATATCGAGACCATTTACAGGGTATGTTACTGCTCCTTTGCAGAGCTCACGCTATATTTTTATAGGCTGAGATCATCCAATCTGCCTCATAATCACGTTTGGTGAAAAGTTACTGTTCTTAAAATAGCCCCTGCAGTAGCACAGTTGCTATGATACAAGGCGCGGGGGAGGGAGAGTTCATTGCCTGTGTTCCAGCTGATGGTGAAGCCAGCCTATACATAATCACTGGCACATGAACAGCTGTCTGCCCTCTCTGTAAGAAGGAGCTTTTCTTTCAGTACTATAAAACATTTTACATTTGATCAAGCCGATGCTTCGCAGCTAAAAACAACACAGGGAAAACTCCACACAGTGTTTCCAAGGTGCAGAATGAGTGGCTCTGCTTTTGTAAGTGCCCTGTGCTCTCCAGAAGAGAGCTGCCTCTTTGGCAAGCCACCAAATGCTGCGCTACAATAGATACTGAGAAAGAATGTTAGCATCTTTCAATCACAGTCGAGGAAACCTGTAATGACTCATGAAATAATCAGAAGACAGCCCCATCGATGGCCTTCTAGGACTATGAATTACAAAGTTCCTGTTCAGAGGTGATCACTGTAGCAATGTGGCAGGAACTGGATGCAAGTGCATTGATTTGCAGGGGTGATACGACCCTGTAGAAAAGATGTTTTGAGTGGGGAGGTGGGAAGGGGAAGGAGGGAGAGGGTAACTTTGTCTCCCACAGGTGAGGCAATCTCTAGAGAAATACACCATCAGAAATACTGCAGAAAGTTATCTCAGGTAGGAGCAATGCTCTTCCGTGTTGGAGTACTGAACCCACCACAATGCAGAGCAATCAAGGAACAAACCTTATCATGAACTTGCTCCTGCTGCCCAAGCAGTCCTGAGAGAGATGTGCAATCCCCAGCCTCTTAAGCAGCAGTCCATGGACCAGTGCTGGTCCATGAACCACTAGCTGCCGGGCTGCGGTAGCGGCTGGAGCTCAAGCCACCTGTTTGTGGCAGCTCAGCACCAGCAGCCGTGGCAGCTGATTTTGCCTGGCGCAGGGGCTCCACACTCCCCCCCCATCATCCCCGTCTCTACCCATAGAGGTGTGAGACGTGCTTGGGGAGGGTGGGGGTGCACGCCGCCGATGGCTGCTCCCCCTGCCCATGTGACCGGTTTTGCCCAGTGGTGGTGCTGGGTTTGAGATGGCAGCAGGAGGAGGTAGAACAGGAGGCGCCTCCCTTCCTCCTCCCATGTAGGTAAGGTGGCAATCCAGCTGGGGCTCCGCACTCCTCCCCCCCACCCATGGGGGTGTGAGACACACTTGAGGAGGGAGGGGGTGCAAAGAGGATGTAGCGTGCATGATGCCAACAGCCACTCCCACTACCTGCCTGGCAGTAATGGCCACGCTCCCCAGAGGTGGCAGCCTGGCTTTGAGGAGTGCCAGGATGGGGTGGGGTGAAAGAGAACAGGGGTGGGGGGGTCAAAGGGTTATAGGGTTAGGCACTAGGGAGCAAGGGGCTAGGCTGACAGGTAACATTTTATTTGCATATTTATTATTTGCATAATTAATATGCAAATAAAAGGTTACTGGTCAGCCAAAAATTTGTGAATGGGTTGCCAGTCTGCGATATAAAAAAGGTTGGGAACCCCTGCCCTAAAGTGGTGAAGGAAATCCTCAGAAGAGACACAGGTCGGGCAGAGTTAAGAGGAGACAGCAGTGCATGGCTAATGAAAGCCACTGCATAATTTCCAGTAGCACCTACTAGTGCCAACTTAGGGTACATTGCCCTTAGCTTTTACTCAGCCACACAAAGGAAGGAAAGGAGAGTGAGGCCTGCTCACATTTTGGCAGCAGCTGTGGGACAGGAATGAGGAGGGGCTACTTGCTGGCTACTCTCCTCTCAGCGTAAGCGGGTCTTGTGTGTGGACAGAAGTTCAGGCCAGGTGCATGGGTGGTCAGGGAGGAAACAGGAGAGTAAGCTGCACTTTGAGAAGGAGAGAGGTGATAACTTACCACCCGCTCACATAGCTAAGAAGTCAGAGGAGAGGAACTTTCCTTGAAATGAAGCAGCTCCTGCTTCAGACCTTATCCAGAGCCAGGCAAAAGGACCCTGTTAAGAATTGTTCATGTTTCTGCAGCGTGGTGTAGTGCACAATAGCAGAGGGGCACACTGTACTGAGGGAGTGTGTCGCTGCAGCTATCAAGATGTGAGGGAGGGTTACTAGGATTCTGTCTTGATCTCCATCTCTTTCTGTCTGGATTATTTTACTGGGCAGGTACTGGTATAGGGTGGTAGTCACCTAAATACCTTTGTGAATCCCTCCCCAGGTCTGCAGCAGGAGAGCAGAGTCCCAAAGAGAAACCAGGGATTTAGAGATTTACAGCGGTGTGCTTAGCACAATGCTGCTGCTCTGACAATTGCAGTTTATTGCGGTGATTGTCCATAAAAAGAAAAGATTAGGATGCAACTGCCACAGCATGATCGTCGTCTGAGTAGGCTTCTAATCAGTTATTAAACGAGATTCTGAGCAATTTTTAACAGCAGTTAATAAACTACATATGTTAATAAAGCCATAAAATAGCCTTTGAGATTCAAAACATCCATTGTGTTGGAAGGAAATAACATGGAGCATATTATATGGTCCTCAGTTGCCCATAACTCACACTCTTCCGTCTAGACAACAGAATGGCATTGTAAATTTGCTTGATGGTTTATAAGCACCATGTAACTATAACACAAGAAAGGGGGAGGGGAAGAATACCCAGCCAGTCCATTTCCAAGTGATCTTTTTAAAACACTATTCCCTTTGAAAGCTGTTTATTAAATGTATTTGCTTTGGTTAAAATTATTTTAATGCATAGCCCCTATTCATCCAGCTCTCTGTGATAAGTGAAAAACAGATCCAGACCTACTGCTATTGGCTTTGATGTGCTCTACATCACTTGTCCGGACTGCTCTCTTGAAAATGCTCTCTTAAAGACTCTCCCAGGTCTTCAAATTCAGAGATCAATGAAAACCATGTAGACAAATCCAGAGAACACTCTCTGTCTCTCTCTCTCTGTCTCTCTCTCTCCCCCTCCCTCTCCCTCCCTCCCTTTCTCTATCTGTCTACACTCCAAAAAACTTGGACTTACAACAAAACAACTTAAAGTGGGGAATTTGTTTTCTATGGCTGACTTTCATTTGCACCATTTTTTTTGCGCATGACTTAAGAGCAGGGAATGGGAGAGCATATAATATAACAATTCCTACAAACATCGACAACTTTAGTGCATAACAGATGTATACTGGAGCAATTTACAGTGGGGATACTCCTGTACACGTGTGTACACAGTACACATGCACACAGACACACAATTCTAGCAGAATTCCTTGGGGCTTCACTATGTGGTGAGGTAATGCACTGCACAGGAGTGTAATTTTAGAAGCACACTAATGTGTTGCAGGTTAGTTGGTCAGTGTAAATCCTGCTGCTACATTTTCATGTCCTATACAAATGCACACCGTACTACATGAAAGCACACGAGGGAACCTTTTGGGCACACCGGTGGAGTCTACATGGAACAGTTAATGTGCAATATGTGAGTGTACTTTAGAAGTCACAGTGCTAAAAGCACCTTACCCTGCCATGCATAGAAGCCCTCAGACTTAGATTTAACTATCTAGTAGTACCAATATGCTACCAGACCAAACACTGAGAAAAAAGAGTTACAGACTGACAAAAGAGTTCAGTCTTTAATAGCCAAAATTATGAAAAACTTCTATTTTGAAATAAAAGGAGCAGGTCACGTGGTTGTTTTATAGCTTTTATAAGAGACATACATATACCTCGACTGCTGTTATGACAGGTTTCTCTGGTTAAAATGCTCACTTTTGTTTTCAGTTACTCTCCATCACAGCCTCATGAAGTGTCATTATGAGGGTTATTTATAGACTTGGGATTTTGTTTTAAATGAGGCAGTGTAATTATTGCTCCTATTCGTTCCAATAAAATATTCCACCTCTCCAATTGGACTGACTCAGTAGGCCTCTCTTCCCTCATAACACCATCTGTTACAAAGTTCTCAGCCTCAATGGGGAAAGAGGTTTTTTTAAACCCCATCTTAAAAATATGACTGTCAGCAGTTGGATCTGTGATGTTGGGAACATGCCAGACCTAGCAGAATGTGAAATGCTCTCAGGAATGGATCTCCTTTGTTCATCTAGGGCAGGTCTACACTTACCAGGAGATTGGCACTGCAGCGATCAGTCCCCTGGGGGGTCGATTTAGAAGGTCTTTACTAGCTGAACATGCTCTTGATAACTCCAGTACTCCACCAGCATAAGAAACATAAAGGGAAGTTGATGGGAGAGTCTCTCTTCCCCCCCGCCCCCACAGAGAAGACTCTGCAGTCACTCGATGTAAGGTACTCCAACTGAGCTATTCACGTAGCTGGAGTTGCGTACCTTAGGTTGACATTGCCCTCTACTGTTGACCTCCCCTAAATCTATCTGGGTGGGGCGGGGCTTAGACAAGTAATATCTTTTTCCTCTTTGCTCCTATGGGAGCAGAGGCCATCAACAATTTCTTTCCATGCCTCTCTGTCTTGTGCCACCTTTTCTAATTCTCTCCAGCTTTTGCCCATTTTCCTCAAATTCACATCCAGGTCTCTTCTCCAACTATTCTTTGGCCTTTCTCTTCCCCTTTTCCCTTGTCTTGCTGAAAGAAGGGGAATCGGCAGGTCAGTATCTTTTCAGGTTTGGCTGCCCCGCATCATAATCCCTCTTTGAGGGCCTTTTTTAGACAAGGAAGACTGGCTTGCTATTCAAATTGAAATTGTTGATATTATTGTAGCATATGTTTATTTTTACAGGATGGGATTGCCAGCCCCATGCGCAATCCTCCTTAGTCGCCTCTTATGACCTGCTTGGAAGGGTACAGAGGTCCTATTCTTACTTCCCCATAGGGCCCCGGGAACCTCACGGGGTAGACAAGTAACATACGGAATCACAATGTGTATGTATGGCAAGTTAGCAACTTGCATTCAGTCATTGATTCACACTTGTTTTGTATTGAGGTAAGCTTTTAAAAATAACAGTACTAAATGCTTCCCTCTTCAAAGCACTGATAGAATGATAATACCCTTTGTACTAAACTTGGTTTACCAGAAAGGCAACGGAAAATGTGCATGAATATAATTCTGAGAGCTCTGCATTCATGGATTGTCCTTGTGAGCTTCATTCCTGAATACTTCTGAACAGCTGAGTTCATATCCATAGAAGCTTCACTGAAGTTCTTGGCAATCTGAGTAGAAAGGCCAGGGGCGCTAACAGCTTCTGCAGGCCCCCAAACAAGGTGGGCAGTGGATCTGCACCCCAGAAGGGGCAGGGCTTCAGACAAGAGGTGGGGCTTTGGACAAATAGGATAGAGCCAGTGCAGCCAGCCCTCAGCATTGCCTGGACCACTGCGCTGGCCCCACCAGCCCTTAGAACCATGCAGCGCATGCCGAGCAGTGCTTCCGCGATGATTTAGAGGGGCTGAAGCAACTGCCCTCTTTTCCTCCCCCCTCCCGTTGGCAGGCCTGAGAAGGGCTTACACCAATTGCACAAAGCATAGTTGAATTCCTGTCTTGTTTAAATCCCCAAACAGTGGAATGGCCCCCAAGATGGAGTTACACCATGAATAACACTGGATATGTTGAATGACACAAGGTATAAAACTGATTCAATGATTGTTCAATCTGGTCACTGTTTTCTCCCTCCTTCTCCCCTCCGCCCCCCGGCTCTGGGTGTTTATTATTTCTTGCAGTCAAATGTGTCCAACCCTTATGCAAAGGGCAACAATAAAAAACGAAGACAGGTTTTACTTGCCTTGTTCCATCATTTCCAGGAGACCTTTCTTAATGAGTTCATCCCGACCTTGCCTTGCCGTAATCTTCTTCTCTAACACTGCAGAAAGTGATAGCATAACACAAAATCAGAGCAATCAGTGGATGGAAGTACAGTAGACACATAGGATAATTCTGTATGAAACCTGCCCCCGGCGAATATTCTGTAGGCTCAAACGCAGTGGGCCAGTGGCCACACATTTGAAGGGTAAGGAACAAGTGTGGATTTTGACTGACTGTCCAGTTCAGCATGTTTTCACTGCCAGAGCAGAGGCAGTAAAGGGAGTCAAGGTT